GTGCTGGAAAGGGGTGGGGAATGGAGATATGCCCAATCACATGAAATAGTCTCATGAACATAGATGGAAAAATTCTCAACAAAATATTAGTCAATCAAATCTAACAATGCATAAAAAAATATACACTACAAAAAAGCAGGATTTATTCCAGGTAGGTAAGGTTGGTTCAATATTTGAAAATCAATTAACATAATCTGCACATTAATAGACTAAAGAAGAAAAATAATATGATCCTATTAACAGATGCAGAAAGAGCATATGACAAATCCAACAACCATTCATAATAAAAACTCTCAGCAAACTAGGAATAGAAGGCTCCTCAATTTACTAAAGAATATGTATAAAAATCCTACAGCTAACACCATACTAACAGAGAGAAATTAGATGCTTTGTCTCTAAGATTGGAAACAAGGATATGCCCTCTCACCACTCCTATTCGACATCATTTTGGAAATCACAGCTAGTGAAATAACACAAGAAAAGGAAATAAAAGGTATACAGATTGGGAAGGAGGAAATAAAACTGTCTGTGTTCACAGATGACATGATTGTCCATGCAGAAAATCCCAAAGAAACAACAATAACAAAACTCCTGGAACTAATAAGACAGTATTATAGCAAGGTTGCAGGTTACAATTAATACACAGAAGTCAATTACTTTCCTATATACCAGCAATGAATATTGGAATTTGAAATTTAAAACAATACCATTTACATTAGCACAAAAAATGAAATACACGGGTAGAAATCTAAAAAAAGTATGTACAGGACCTAAATGAGGAAAACGACAAAACTCTGGTGAAAGGAATCAAAGATCTAAATACATGGAGACATATTCATTGTTTATGGACAGGAAGACTCAATACTGTTAAGATGTCAATTCTTCCCAACTTGATCTCTAGGACAACACAATCCCAGTCAAAAGCCCAGCAAGTTTTTTGTGGAGATGGGTACTCACAAACTGATTCTAAAGTTTATATGGGAGGCAAAAGACCCAGAATAGCCAACTCAATATTGAAGGAGAACAACGCTGGAGGACTGATATTGCCTGCTTCAAGACTTACTACAAAGCTACAGTAATCAAGACAGTGTGGAATTGGTGAGAGAACAGACATATAGATCAATGGAATAGAATAGAGAAACCAGAAAAAGACCCACATGAATATAGTCAGCTGATCTGTGACAAATAAGCAAAGGCAATACAGTGGAGCAATGATAGTCTGTTCAACAAATGATGCTGGAATAAACGGACATCCACATGCAAAAAAATAATCTAGACACAGACCTTAACCCTTTCACAAAAATTAACTCGAATGGATTATAGATTTAAATGTAAAATGTAAAACTATAAACTTCCTAGAGATAAAGAAGGAAATCAGGTGACTTTGGGTTTGGCAATGATTTTCTGGATACGATAGTAAAAGAACAAAACAAAAAGAAAAAAAATGATAAGTTGGACTATATTAAAAATAAAAACTTTTTTGTGAAAGTTTTAAAAACCACAGAGACAAAAACCTGGAAAATATTTGCAAACACAGAGCCAAAAACCACAGAGCCAAAAATCTGGAAAAATATTTGCAAACCACATATATATAAAGGACTTGTATTCAAAATACACAAAAAATTCATAATTCAACAGTAAGTAAATAAACAATTAAGAAATGGGCAAAAGATCTGAAGAGACACTTCACCAAGAATGTAGAGATGGCAAGTTAGCATATGAAAAATGCCCAGCATCATGTTATTTGTGTGTGTGTGTGTGTGTGTGTGTGTGTGTGTGTATGTGAGGAAGACCAGCCCTGTGCTAACATCTGTTGCCACTCCTCCTCTTTTTGCTGAAGAAGATTGGCCCTGGGCTAACAGCCATGCCCATGTTCCTCTACTTTACATGAGACACCGCCACAGCGTGGCTTGATAAACAATGCATAGGTCGCGCCCAGGATCTGAACCCACAAACCCCAGGTCACCAAAGCAGAGCGCATAAACTTAATCACTACGTCACTGGGCCAGCCCCCACACATCATTTTTATTAGTGTGGTAGAGTCCATTCCAATTCCTAGAGACCCTGCGTATAAGAGAGCCGAACCCTGCCCTTTTTTTCACGCCATCCTCTCACCTTCCAGCGCTGTATCAGACAATGCTCCACTGCTATTCACAGGGTTTTCGTGGTCACATTTTTTTGGAAGTGGGTGGCCAAGTCCTTCTTCCTAGTCTGTTTAGTCTGGAAGCTCCGCTGAAACCTGTCCACCATAGGTGACCCTGGTGGTATCTGAGATGCCAGTGGCATAGCTTTCAGCATCACAGCAACACGCAGCTGCCACAGTATGACAACCAACAAACAGGTGGTGTGGTTCCCTGACCAGGAAATGAACCCTAGCTATGGAGGTAAGAGTGCTGAGTCTTAACCACTAGACCACCAGGGCTGGCTATGTTGTTAGAGAACCATAAACCAAGACAACAATGAGATACCATTATATATGTATTAGAATAGGAAAAATCTAAAATACCAAATGTTGGCAAGGATGCAGAGCTACAGGAACTCTCATCCATTGATGTTGGGAATGGAAAATGGTACAGCCACTTTGGAAGGTATTTTGGCAGTTTCTTACAAAGCTAAATATTGTTTAACCATATGATCCAGTAATCATATGGTATTTGTTCAATTGAGTTGAAAATTTATGTCCACACACACACAAATTGCACATGAATGCCTATAGCAGCCTATTCACGATAACCCCAAACTGGAAGCAACCAAGATGTACTTTAATAGGTAACTGGATAAACTTTGGTATATCCATGCAATGGAATTAATAATAAATAAAAAGAAATGAGCTATCGAGCCGCAAAAAAAAAAAAAAAACATGGATAAGCCTTAAATGCATATTGTTAAATGAAAGAAATCAGTCTGAAAAAGCTATACAATTCCAACTATATGGCATTCTGGAAAATGGAAAACTATACAGACACCAAAAAGATCAGTGGTTACCAGGGGTTAGAAGGGAGGAAGGGAAAGATGAATAAATGAAGCACAAGGGATTTTTATGGAAGTGATTCTATTCTGTACAATATGTAAAGGGGATATACACATTATGCACGTGTCAAAACCCATAGAAAGTACAAAGCAAAGAGTGAACCTTGATGTAAACTACAGATTTTAGTTAATAACAATGTATCAACATTGGCTCATTAATTGTAAAAATGTATCACAATAATATAAGATGTTAATAGGAGCAACTGTTGCGGGGGCAAGCATATGGGAACTCTGTACTAGCTTTCTTAATTTTTCTGTATATCTAAAACCATTTAATTTTTCTACTTAATTGTTTCTGTAAATCTAAAACTGTTCTAAAATATAAAGTCTACTCATTTAAAAAATATGTACATATTTTCAAAAACTTAAAAAGGTAAATAAAACAAAACAAAACTTTCTAAAGAAGAAAACTCTAGGCCCAGATAGTTTCACTGGTAAATTCCAGCAAACAATTAAGAAAGATGTCATATCAATTCTACACTATTTCTTCCAGAAAATAGAAGAAGAGTGCCTACTTTTCACCTCATTTTATGAGGCCTGCATTACCCCGACACCACACCCAGATAAAGACATTACAAGAAAAGAAAACAACAAACATCCCTTTGACACATAATATAGACACAAAATTCCTCAACAAAACATTAAAAAACCAAATCCAGCAATATGTAAAACGGAAAATATACAACAACAAAGTGAGGTTTATCTGGAGAATGCACAGCTGGTTCAACATTCATAAATCCAACTAATTACCATATTATCAAACTCAAGGAAAAAAAAACCACAATCATATCAATAGATACAGAAAAAATATTTGAGAAGATTCAACACCCACTCACGATAAAAACTTTCCCCAAACTAGGAGTAGGTGAAAATTTCCTTAATCTGATAAAGGGCATCTACAGCTAACATTATACTTAACGGTAAAAGACTGAATGCTTTTGTTATGAGATCAGGAACAAGGCAAGTGTGTCTACTCTGACCTCTCCTATTCAACATCATACAGGAGGTTCCAGCTAGTCCAATGAGGCAAGCAAAAGAAATAATAGGCACACAGTTGGAAAGGAAGAGGTAAAACTGTCTCAATTTGCAGATGCTATTATTGTCTATATCAACGGTTCTCAGCCAAGAGATTCTGGCCCCCAAGGTTGCATTTGACAATGTCTAGAGACATTTTTTGTTGTCACAACTCGGAGTGGGGAGGATGTTACTGCCATCTATTGAGTAGAGGCCACAGCTGTTGGTAAACATGTTACAATGCACATGACACAGCCTCCCTCAACAAAGAATTATCTAGCCCCAAATATAAGTGGGTCTGAGGTTGAGAAACCCTGGTCTACACAGAAGTCCCCAAGGAATCTACGTCAAAGCTTCTAGAACTGAGTGAGTTCAGCAAGTCAGAGAATACAAGGCCATATACAAATATCAATTGTATTTCCATACACTAGGTATAAAAAAGAATTAATAGTGTGAATTTATGGTTTCTTCTTACTCTGCCGTGTTCACTCTGCTATAAGAATACGGGAGGAAGTTCAAAATAACTAGCACCTTTCAAGTGCCAGGCACTTGATTTATGTTCTCTCATTGTAACCTTCTGAATTTTACACACGAAGAAGTAGACTTGGTAACGTATCTTGTTCAAATCACACTATTAGTGAGGAGTTGACCCAAGCTTTGAATTAAGGCATTTCAGAAATGAAAGCTTCTAATCTTTATTATGCAATAAATTCCTACCATGATAAAATCTACTCTAACAAATTCATAGATTAGAAAATGCTTTGTAAACTCTTTTAACTACAAAAAGGTTTTATTCTTTATCATTCACAATTTAGTAAATTAATATTAACTAAATTTCTTACTTCAGGTGCTTTTTCTTCAATGTTAAATTTTAAAATAATATCTTATAATGTAATTATACAAGAGTCTATTCAAATCCCAGGTACAAAATACTTAATTTATGCTTTACTTCTTACCTTTCCTTTGGTGACAGAGATCTGGTCGAAGTAATGCCAGTATCCTTTCTAATTTTATGCTTTTCATATTTTTAAAATTAGGGAAGAAGATATCAATAAACTTATTAACATTCGTTATATTCTCTTCAACATAACAAAACTGAGATATACGTTGTCTTTCCAGATATTCTTGTAAGCTGGTGAAATCCAAAATACAATTGAAGATTATTATAAACTGAAGTTTAATAACCATGCCAGAAAATTAAAAGTGATAAGATGTTCACAAATAACTTAGAGTCTAGAGGAGAAGTCAAGATGGTGTCATAAGCAGACTCTGAACTCACCTCCTCCCGTGGACATAGCCAATTTACAACTACT